GTGGCACAATACTGACAAAAACGTAGAACCAATCAGCGAATAGCTGCATCATTACATCATCCCACTGAACGGTTCTTTGGCACCCAGCACAGTTAACTAACTGTGCCGGAAAAAAATGTGCTGAGTCCGGTTTTTAAGTGTACCGTGTTGAACCATTACTAAGTAAAGAGAATAAAAGCAGGCTAAAATATGTTGTGCATGTGCTGCACCCTGTAAAACCTAAAATAATAATTTAAAAGTCAGAGGGGTCTGGTTTTTCAGACCACGTCTATTACACAGATGAACATATGATGACAATAGGAGATAATTCTCTCACATCACCTGAAAACATGTCTTTCACCAAGCTTTGAGTTCTCTTTGAAATCTCTTTCAACAAGCTGGTAATCATCAGATTCATCCACTTGGGGAAGGGTCCAAAGCACAACCCATATTATGTAACGCTCTTCCACACGTCGCACGCAATTACACATTTCCACCAGAGGGGTCTCCAAATCCCAAATTTGTAACTTACTATGTAAACATTCTTTCATTAACCCCCTAGTCCATAGAGTTCATATATGGAAACTAAGCTGCAAAAACAGCCCGTTTTGAATTCAGTGTGGTTGTGATGTCACAACCATGGTCTCCCATTCAGCCCAGTTTCAGCAGTAAAGTCTTGCCCATTGCCATTGAAGTGTTGTTCCTGCAGACAGTCTGTAGCAGAGTTACTGTAGTGGTAGATATGCTAAAGTGATTAAACATTGTGCCGTTCCTGGCTGTTGGGAAGTAAATGGATCATTGCAGCCTTCCACACATCCAAAAGGAATGTCTAAAACCTATATATTTCCATGTTCCAGAGGATTTAAGTTCTGACTTAACCGTTTGTTCCAAAATTCCAAAGTTGAACGAAGTTCGGAAAAGGTCAAGTAAAATGAAAGATAATTGTTCTTTTAGTGCATTAAACCACGTTATAAGCAGATTTTAGGGGAAGAAGTAAAATGCAAGAAAAATGCAGAATAGGAGGCCTTTCAGTATTTAATGTGGATTAATGTGGATTTAAGCCTTCCATTTCAAGGCAGGTCATGAGGCCAGTTTATTTCATTATGGCAAAATCTGCTTAAAACCACAGTGGCGAATGTGAATTTTGAACTGAATGTCCAGAGCTGGCTTTAGTGAATTAGAACTGACCTCATCCCTGGGTTAGCTGTCAGTGGGACGTCTAGATTCGGACACCTGACCTTTGCTCACTATATGTGATTCCACAGTGATGGGTTTTTATGCTTTAAGATGACTCAGTTTCTTGCAATTTCATCCATTTATTACACACTTCTGTAACCTAAAAATAGCTCAACCAGTTTGCACTGAAGTACCTGTAGTTACTGAATAATAAGCCTTGGTATGTAATAAGCTTGGGATTTTAATGGGTTAAAATACACCCCAATATACCCCATTTCCAAAAAAGTTGGGACGCAGTGCAAAATGTAAATAAAAACAAAATGCAATGATGTGCAAATCATTTAAACTCTATATTTAATTGAAAGTAGTACAAAGATGACATATCAGATGTTGAAACTGAGAAATTCTATGGTTTTTTTAAAAATATATGCCCATTTTAAATTTGATGCCAACAACACATTCCAAAAAAGTTGGGACGGGGCAACAAAAGACTGGTAAAGTTGTGAAATGCTAAAAAAAACACCTGGTGGTTGATTGGCAACAGGTCAGTAACATGATTGGGTATAAACCCCTCCTCATCTTTACTTTCAGAAGTAAAGATGAGGAGGGGTTCACCATTCTGTGAAAGACTGCACAAATACTGCAACAATTCAAGAATAACGTTTCTCAACATAAAATAGCAAAGAACTTTTGCTTTTCATCAACTACGGTACATAATAACATTAAAAGATTCAGAGAATCTGGAGAAATCTCTGTCTGCAAAGGACAAGGTGAAAAAACGGTATTTGCTGACCGTGATCTTTGGGTTCTCAGGCAGCATTGCATTAAAAACAGACATGATTCTCTAGTGGAAATCACTGCATGGGCTTAAAGAACACTTCTGAAAAACACTGTCTGTGAAGACAGTTCATCACTGCATCCACAAATGCAAGTTAAACTCTAAAACCCAAAGAAGAAACCGTGTATAAACAAGATCCAGAAACACTGCTGCCTTCTCTGGGCCCAAGCTCATTTAAAAAGGACCGAGGGGAAGTGGAAAAATGTCCTGTGGTCAGACAAAACAACATTTTAAATTCTTTTTGGAAACCATGGACTCTGTGCCCTCTGAGCTAAAGACCACTCAGCTTGTTATCAGTGCACAGTTCAAATGCCAGTATTCATGATGGTATGGTGTGCATTAGTGCACATGGCATGGGTGATGTACACATCTGTGAAGGCACCATTAATGCTTAATGATATATACATATTTTGGCAAATAGATGACGTCTTTTTCAGGGCAGGCCTTGATTATTTCAGCAAGACAATGCCAAACCACATTCTGCATGTATTACAACAGCATTGCTCCTTATTAAAAGAGTCAGAGTACTAAACTGGCCTGCCTGCAGTCCAGACGGTCATGCACTGATACCATTTGGCACATTATGAAATGAAAAATACGACAAAGAAGACCCTAAACTGTTGAGCAGCTGAAATCCCATATCAAACAAGAATAGGAAAATGTTTCACTTTCAAAACTACAGCAGTTGGTCTCCTCTTTTCCCAAATGCTATAGTTTTGTTAAAAGAAGAGGTGATGCAGCACAATGTTAAACATGCCCCTGTCCCAACTTTTTGGAACATGCTGTTGGCATCAAATTCAAAATGGGCATATATTTTTCAAAAAACAATAACATTTCTCAGTTTCAACATTTGATTTGATGCCTTTGTAGTATTTTCTTTTAAAAATATGGTTTACATGATTTGCATATCATTGCATCCTATTTTTATTTACATCCTGCACAGCATCCCAACTTTTTGGAAATGGGGTTGTAGTTTGGAATCACTTGCAATAAACAATTTATTTGTTATTTTATGTACAATAATACATTACATAATGTAGCATTAAAGGCTTATATTTTTCTTGTATGATTAATTTTTACATGACTATTTTCCAACCTCTCTTTTTGCCTTATGTTACTGTGCCTTTAAAACTAATTTCATATATATATATATATATATATATATATATATATATATATATATATATTTATTATATATATATGAATATATGTGAATGGGCAGAGCTAAACTGCTGTAGGCTGAAATATATAAATGTGTTTTTTGTGACATCACAAAAAGCAATGACATCAAAATGGGCTGTTTTTATAGCATGGTTTCTGTATATGGACTGAGAAGTGAACAGTACGGTTTGAACATTAAACAGTGTTTACATACAACATCAAACTCATAATAAAAACCAAAAAATAAAGTAAAATTGGTTTTCATGATATGAGTCTGAAATACAATGTAGTGTTTTGAAAACATCACTCAAAATGTCCACAGCATTTCTAAATGCATTCTGAGCTGCATCAGTGAAATGATGTATCGGTAAGAACAGATGTAATACTGAGACCCCGGTGCCCCGGTGGGCAGAAGAACAAGTGGGAGAATACGTTACATTATTGACAGTTGTTCCCGAGGTGGGATGTATGTACAAAATGTAAATGTGCTCTAACTCATCACAATTACAAGGCTGCTTGTGTGTGTGTGAGTGTGTGAATTTCAGGTTGAAACGTAAGAATGCAAGCGTCGGGTCACCGGGGGTCTGCACGGCTGAGAACTGGTTTTTAAACATCGCAGCTTTTAAACGAAGGCTTATGATGGGCTCGACACAGAGCGACCGAGAGCCTTTTAAGTGTGCGCTGCTATTAGCATATTCAAATAGAGGTCAGCCAGTGGACTGAAAAATCGATCTGGATATTTTTTATGAACATAATCAAATAAAATCTTATCAGACTAACAAGGACATTGTTGGCTTTCTGTATGTTCTGGGTTGAGCTGCAAGTGAGCAATGAGGGGTGAAAGGGGAGGGGTGAGACATGCTCCCTGCTTTGTCATATTTTTAACTTTGACATATATTTGAGCTTGTACGTATCAGTTTTACAGTGATTCTTTCAGTAAAGAGTCCTGACATAGAGCTGCTGCTGCTCTTTTCCATTTCTAACAACTAACTGAAACCTGGTTAGACTGCAGCTCATATTCACAGTCAGTGATGTATCTAGAACTTCCAGGAGGCCTAGAGAGACATATTTTCCTCACACATTGGTCCTCACACAATTAATCAAAACGTGATTAATTGATTCTTCTGTCAATTTCTAATTATGGCAGTAGTTAATCTAGTATTTTATGCCTTTTGTACAGCTCCTGAAGTCCTAACCAATAGGAGGCCTGCTTGGCCGTATATACCTATATAGCAGAGAAAAAAAAGTCCTGATTGGACAATTTTCCATTGGCCGTTTCAAAATCTTAATTTTAATATTTTATTCCCCAGAAATCATTAGGCTTTTTCTGAAGGCCTAGAAGACCCTGAGGCTTTTCCACTGTTGATACCGTGTTCCACACAGAGATCTGTCATGGTGTAAAAGGAAAATGTGCTGGTATTTCTGATTCACATTGTGGCATGCGCTGTGCCTCACTGGGATTCTTTCTTTTATACCACATTCATCTGCACTTTCTATACCTTCCAGCCATTTAGCTTTTTGTCTGGCACTAAAGGGTACACCTTAAACCTCCTAAAACTGTCTACACTATTCCTGAAATGGAAACTCTTAACACAGCTGTATGTTTGGGTTGTACTTTACCTCACTTGAGAGACGCTCTGGATAAAAGTGTCTTCAAAGTGAATTAAAGGGCCCATATCCTACTGTTGCCCTGTATTTTTTCATCTTGGGTCCAAATATATAATGTTTTCGTAGGTTTATGTACCAACAGTGGTCAAATTTAATTTTCACATAAACATTTCCAATCTCTTTTTATTAAAGCGCCCTTTAATGTGAAATGTAATTGTAAACTGAACTGAAAACTCACCTTTGGTGCAGAAGGGTCCGTCGTAAGCCGTGCCGCTGCAGTCGCACGAGTAGCCGTTGTATTTCTCCACGCACTTCCCTCCGTTACGGCAGTACATTCCGAAACTGGTGCAGTGACCAGAACACCCCGGTTTAACTCCCGGAGTGACTTTGGCTCTCTCTTCAAGGTCAAGGGTCACGCCGTTCATCTTGAGAGAGCGGATACATCCGAGAAAACCTCGCTGTCCTCCGGCTGCACCTGCGGATCCAACAGAAAACACAATTACAGAGTGGAACATTACTAATAATCGATGCCCGGCCAGGTCAAAAGGAGAATTCTCTCGATTACTGCATATAACAGCTACTGTAGAAGGCTCGGGATAACGGCCCTGTAGTTCAATTAAAATAAAGATCCAACGGGCAACATAAAGAGGCCTAAATGAGAAGCGCTGGAGGTTAAAATGAAAAACGCTCTCTCTCTCTCTCTCTCTCTCTCTCTATAGCTGAAACAACCTCAACACGATGAGATGCATAATTCAATAGTATAGATTCCACAGAAATGAGAGAGTGACTCAAACAACATTAATGCTCCACTCGTGGGTGAAAATAATTACTCTCTCACAGCTCCGAATAATGTCCAAGCACTTTTCCCATTATAGGAAACTGCTCATTTACTCAGGAAAAAAATATCTGACCAATGAGCTGAGTTTATATATTTGCAAGTGACCAGCCAAGACGCAGTAATTATAAAGTAACGTTAAATAATAAAATGAGTAGAGCTGTGAGGGGACACCGGCAGAGGGATAAAGCAGACACTCTTATTAACCTTAAGAGTTATTACTGCTGTTTTCCTATATTACGCAAATTCATTTACATAATTGCATATTTACTTGACATTCATTTACATTCAGTAGTCTGCGCTTCTGACATTTTTGCGTTTGTTTTGACGTCAGAAACTCAGTAAAAATGTGTTTCTGACTCATTTAATTCAAAATAAAATATCTCTATAAGAATATAACAAAATATTCAGATTTATGTTTACATTTATGACTTTTTGCAGACATCTGTCTAAAAAAAGTTTCAATTTATGTACAAGAATAAGTCATGCAATGTCATTTTAAAGGCAGTATTCACACATGATGTTTGTGGATTTTACATATATTTCATTTTACATGACTATTTTCAAGCCTCTCTTTATCCCTCAGAATTCAATTAACCCCCCAGACCCTCAAAGCAGGCTCTGCCAGCCGCTCTGCATTTCACTGTAACTGTCACAGATGGTCGGGAGGTGACTTCTGACAGAAAACACAATAATTACAGCCAGTTTTGACACTGATTACATTTTAGAATTATCCATATCTTTATTACGAACAATCCTCCAACAAGGATGAGGCTTAAAGCGTCCTTTGTTTTGTTTATTGATGTGCTTTTATAGTTATTTTAGCTGCTTAGCTAAACATGAAGCCTAATTCATGCTACAATGCAAGTGAGAAAACTTCAGTAGTCGATGACCTGGTGCCTTATTTCTAGCATGTCTAGCATTAATTTGTATTGATTTATAGTGGCATGTCATAGCATGCGTTTACAAAATCAGCGAAACTGGTTAGCTAGTCTGATATCTCTGATATCTCTCTCAGCTACACTAACCAAACAACAGACTGAGGACACTTTGCTTCCTCACACTGAGTGTTGTTCAGCTCTCACAACTAGAGCTGAAGAAATGAACTCATATTTTGTTATCTCCCTTTATGTATACGCAGGTTTTCACTTACTTTATAATTAATATTTCTTACTTCAGTCTTAAGTCCAGTTCAGTTCAAAGATACAGGGAGGCTTTATGAAACTGTAGCTAGAGGGAGTTCTTAGACTAACTATGCAGCCTTTAACAATGTGGACATGATGTAGTGATTTTATCACGCTAAGAATTAATAATGAAGAACTTTATTAGTTGTTGTAGTCAGTCTGCATCATATCTCAGCTTTTTATTTCTTTATTTACAATACTACATGTACAATGCCTGTTACAATTTCAGAGCTCATTTGCTCTTCAGTCCTGAATTGAGAGCTCTCTGTTGATTTCTAACCCTTCTTTTTGTTTTTTATAGACTCACCTTTAAAGTGAACGTGTCAATTTACTCTGAAACCTGAAAACTGTTAGGAATCCAGAACAGTATCCTATAATTCTGCTGGGGTCTAAAGGGCTGTTTTTTGTTTTGCTACTATGCCTTTAAGACTGATATATTTAAATGAGCTCTGTTCTGATTGACTGCCCAGTATTGTGTCTCATTTAAAGAGGGGTAAATTCTGTTTCAGTAGACATTAATTTGAATGTGGCTTTGTTTAATGGTGTTTTACATACATTATAAGATAAGGACCAAAAAGGCATTGGGAAAAACATATTAAAGAGTTTTTCAAGTCTCAGTTAGCAGCAGACTTGGCTCCACTGTTTGTGTAATGTGTTCTGGTGCTCCAACGCTGACCTCTTGGCCATTTAAGACTATTAAAGAAAAGCCAATAAGGCCACAGCTAATAGAGCAGAGGAAAGCACCACAGTAAATACACCGCATTAATATCATAACAGTGCCATTACGGAGCTGACGTGCCATTATTCTCTCTTTTTCTTCTCTACACACAATCGGAGCGCGGGGCTAATTAATATCACACAGCAGAGGCTCAGATTGCTCCTAATTATTCTCTGACACAGCAGTCACATTCTTCTACCCCATTACTTACCATGAAGACATCAACTATGCAATTTTTCTTTGGGGGGGTGGTTTAACCTCTTAAAGGGGAATTCCACCAATTTTTCAAAAATTCTGCATACTGAAATCGCTAAAATGTGAACATCATCCAGTGTTGTTTGATGTGAAGCAGTCTACTGTAGAGGAACTTACAGACTCTGATTTCTTTACAGTGGGGGTGATAGGAACCAGGGGGTCACAATGTCTACAGCACAAATCTAGCCATTTTATTTACTATACAAAACCACCAGTGAACCTACACAAGCCTGGGTTTTTAAATGTAATGTTCACAATGGTAAAATATTAATATTCATTTTTTTCCAAACGTTTTCTATTTGGCCTTATAACACCCTGCTGGTACCTATCCACTTCATATTCTCCAAGGTATTTTGTTTTTTTTCATCTGAATTTACATGCCCAAATCGTAAGGCAAATTATTGAGCAACTGCATGAAATAAATGTACATTTTTATTTTATTTATTTATTTATTTGTTTTTTGGTAAAAGCTTCCCTCAAATTAACAGAAAATGTGTTTTATGATCATACACATATTGCTATATGCTTACAATTTACTGCTGAAAGCCAAAAATCTTAGATGCTCTTTGTATTTTTTTATAAAAATAATTTTTACTACATGGAAAAATTAGAGGCAAAACAACAAGTTACTAAGAATGAAGCTATAAGTCCGGACCTGCTGATGCAAAAAGCCTTACTGTAATAGCAGTGTTGAAATCTAATACCTTTTAGCCTGGCAGCACCTGAACATCTAATTGAGCTCTAATGAAGGCATATTAAATTAAAATACAGGGCACATTAGCCTGGTGGAATACCTTTTCACCTCTGCAGGACCCTGCCTGAATGAAGCCTGAATGGAGTTTTGCTGCCGTAAAATATTGAGATGAGCAAAAATGTTGAGCTCTTTAATTACAATATTTGTTTCCAGGGTTTTTTATAAGTATTGTAGTAAATATAAGTAAGTAAAGTCATGGTATATGCACTAATAGCTTGCACTAGTAACTCAATGTATGGCCTTAAAGGCCCATATAACCTCAAAACAAATATACTAAAAACAACATGTAGCATGTTATGCTGTTTGTACAGCATAAACTAAGGACAACACATTTTGTGTTTCTTATTTGGCACAGGCAAAGACTTTTAACCCATTCAACCAAATTTAGCATGATGAAGAAAACGAAATGAAATAAAGTTATACCTTTGATGAACGTCTAACAGCTACCATTTGATTTTTTTTTATTATATGTATAATTTTTATATTTTAATTCAAATCAAACTAGGATTTTTTTATTGTTTTGCCAAATATCAGTAGTCATGTAATCAAAAGACAGTCAAATAAAATGATGAACATTCTCTTTTTAGCCATAAGGTTTGTTATCTGGATCAAAGGAAATTAACATTTTCTTATTAATAGATTAATGCACAAATTCTTATTCTTTAAAATTACTATTTTTAACACAAATGTATTAAATCCTAATATATTTTTGGAACACTTTTCTTTTGCATAGGATTACTGACTGTTTATTGATGTTCTTGTTCTTGAAATTGAGAGCCTGCTGCTTTAATATTAACAAATTATCAATAAGAGTTCCTCATAACTGACAGTGTTTATTGCTGTGTTCTGTGCAGGAGATCTGAAATCAAAAAACATAACTGAAGTTAGCAGGCTGAACTGTTTAAGAGCTGCAGGAACATGTAGGTTGTAGGAGAACACTGAGACACTCAAGCCTTGATGAATAACTTCCCCCTTACCTCAACTTCTTCAGTTGATTGTTTTGGTGTCTGAAGTCTGCTTCTTTTGTACAGGCAAAATTCCAGCTTCACGAAGGCTGCTACCGTTTTTAGCTTTGCTAGCATACTTGCATCCTTGATTATAGATAACAGTATGTCTTACAGTGTCAGAAACCACATAAGCAGGTCTATTTGAGAATAATGAACAACTCAACAACCAGACATTCAGTTTGCAGGATGCTATTTGGTGCCAAGAAGCTTCCTTTTTTGATTAGCAACATTAGCCTCATAGCTCCACTGTAAAACTAAAGAAGTAAAATTCAGACACTACACATGTCTTGGATGACTGACTACATTTGGAGTAAAAGGGATGTTGTTTAAATTAGATGTCCTGCCAAACTTTACCTTGAATCCCCATTGCAATAAGAAGGTAAGGTGAAAACTGGGCACCTTACGGCCCTCTTAAGACTGATTTACCTATTTATGCTAAGATATCAAGCTCACAGTTTAAAAAGACACCAAAGGTAAAGTGCTATTGTTCTTGATATTCTTCTCCATGAACTCAACCCCATCTGATTACCATCAGGACATTGCTGCTTCAATATCAATAATCTATATCTGAAGAGTTCTTCATAACAATTAACCATCATTGCTGTCTCCTAATTTGTGCACGAGATCTGAAACCAGGAATCGCAGTAGAAATGAAGTTAGTGGGTTGACCTGATTAGCAGTGCCACTTTAGTAATCGCGAGATTTTGGGTTTGCATCCTGAGGAGAACATCAATAAACCCAGGTATCGTCTTTAAAGGACATAATAAAGCAACAGTTTTGTGAAAAATCGAATTGAAACAATTTCGCCCCTTGTAGTCCACCCCAAATGTAGTCGATCAGCCAAGACATGTTTGTTGTCTGAAGTATAGACAATGTTCAGGCTTCAAGAAGACTCCTACTACTGTCTTAGCTATCCTACTTACTTGTGTCCATGTTTATAGATAATAGTATGGCATATTGTATCAGATACCACATAAGCAAGGCTATTAGATTACTCAAAGTTTTAGTAAGTTATAAATGAATGTAATCTCTTACAGGGTGAATTTGGTAAAACTTACTTGAAACTTACATAAAACTAAATTGCGCTTGAATTGCATTAAGTGTCGTGCAACTCATTTAAATCTCAGCCAACAGTGCAAGCGCCTCATCTTTGTGAAGAAGTTTAACTAAACAACCAATCAAAAAGCCAATAACGCATCACATGATTACGAAGCTAGATTCAGTCTCCTCTCTTGATGCCCCTAATTTTACACAGAGCTCAGATTACCTAGGAATCTAATAGATAAAAAATTATTCCAGAAAAGCTGACTTCTTGTGTTTCTAGGGTAGGATGAGTGAGACATTGTGTAGGCTATAACCGTAATGGCTACTTAAGCATCAATTTTCAAAGGCTTAACATATAAATAACATCAAAAGTATCAAAAGGCATCAAAAGTAAAGAACTCTAAATAGTTAAAAAATAGATAGATCTATGGATATAGACAAAATATTATGACAGCTAGAAATAAAAATATGCAGAAATAAAAATGGAGCAAATATGTAAATTTCTAGTGAGCACAGGGTAAAATCTTAAAAATGTTTGTATGATACTAAAATTATGTATTATATTAAACATCCAGCAAAGTTTGAATGAAAAACAAGATAGTATATAATATACAGTTTATAATAAAACACTGCTTAAACATTGCTAATCAGACCAATCTTAGAACTCTGTGGCATTCCTCAGTCCAACACTCCAGGCTGCTCAACAAAAGCAGAGAAAACTCACTACTCACTAACAACATTATCCAGCATTTATATGAAGACGTTTTAAAGAAGGTAATGTTCTTATTTATTTTACTGCTGGAAGTGACCAGGGAATAATGATGTGGCTAGTTGTAACATTTGTCCATTCATTCGTTACTTACACTTGCTAGGTTAGCTTCCACTTGGTGGTTAGCTTTCTCATGATATGTTTATCTGAATCGAACATGGAGAGGCCGTAGGGGAAGACAGTGATGCTAAAGCTATGTGGGAGGAAGGAGCTACATCAGCCTTGTGATTGGTGAGGCTATTGCTTATGTACATGTGACCCAAGATTAAGGCCGCCAGTTTACAGTTTAAATTGGCCATTACTGGGCACTGCAAAGTAAAGCCAATAAGAGCAAGAGCAACCACTCAAGCCACATTTTCATGCATGGTACAGACTCGACTCGGCTTTATAAAATAGACTTTTTTTGGTTTTGCACTAGGCAAATCTGGTACCTGGTACTTGGCACTATTTTTGGTACCACCTCCGTCAAGGTTCCAAGCGAGCTGAACCGATACAGAAAGGTGATGTAAAAATGCTACAGACTACTGATTGGTCAGAGAGAATCGCTAAACACATATGCTAACGCTAGCTACCAGGCTAGTGTTCCCTTGTGTTGCCTTTGAGCAACCAGAATTGTCTCCTCGTCTGAACTCTGATGTAGTATTTCCCAAACTCTCCTATTTTTTTCCAGCAGTATTTTGTCCTGCTGCCATCAGCCTCTTCTGAACAAAAATTTGTCTCCTATATGTCTTGGCAGTTTCATGCAGCGTTGCTATAATGACCAGCCACACTGAGTGGCTATTTCTATTTCTGCAGTGGAAAAACGTAGTAGCTGGTACCAAAAGCGAGTAGAGTTGAGCTGTACCATGCAGTGGAGAACCAGCTTTAGAAAAAAAAATACAAAGATTTTTTTGGGCTGTCCTGGGCCTTTAAATCATGAGTATGAGTTGAGCCACGATCCAGTCAACTCAAGTACGGGTCACAGACTTGAGACCAGGTCACTGGTCAGAAACCAGATTTGCAAGTCTATTTTAGATTACCTAACAACTCAACCCTGTTTGAGGCAATTGTGTGATGAAACTGTGTAACAGAAGCTTATTGGTACACATTCAGTTTCATTAAATTTATATTTGGCGAATATAAGACACCAAACATGGCTGATCAACTACATTTGAGATGGGGGGAAAGTAGAAATATGATTTTTTGCTGAACTTCCTCTTTAATTCCCATTGTAAACAGAAGGTAAAAGGTGAATAAGTGAGAAGAGGGTATCATATGACTGTTTGATTTCTTTGTTTTTGCTGGGAGATGTTGTACAGAAAAGTTACCTACTGTCCTGACAGGCCCAAGACGCCGGCTTCCCTGCGGAGCGTTAGCACCAGGCGAGAAGGCAAGAAACACAGGCAGGCAAGACAGAGAGAAAAAAAAGAACATGACAACAGAAAACAAACACAAAAGAGAATGAGAAACAAACATGCCATAACAGAATAAACAATTCTGAAGTGGAAAAAAAAATAATCATGATGTGTGAGGGGAATGGAAAAGCAACTAAAACAAGAGTTCACTTTAAGGGCAGCGGACTGATCAGAGTTCTACGCAAACATGATGTTAAATCAATTTGCTTTGCGGCCTGGAAACATAAAAGTCTGTTTGAAATGTAATATAAAATGAGTGATGGCAAATGTATAAACAAACGTTAAATATTGCATAAAGTAAAGAAAGTGTGAATTCGGAATGAAGCAGCAGCGGCAAGGGAGGAATAAAAAATAAACGGCTTTACTAATGAATGCCTACAGTAGACATAAATGCAGTACAAATACAGAGAATTACGCCAAGCCGAACGGCGGATATCAGAATAACCCCAGCATGCTTCATCAAAACAGACAAATTTACCACCCCACCGGGGGTCAAAGACTAATGCTACTAGCCCCTTTGCTGGCTAGCAGAGCGTAGCCAGAGATTACATTTCAGCGGAAACAAATGATAGGGATTAGGCCACCTTTTTGCATTCATTTGGTTTCTTGAAGCTCATTACAGACAGAGCCGCATGTTTAATGAGGCCATTCATATGCAGGTCATGCTTCCTCTAGATCTAATCTGGGAAAAATGAAAATTTCAGGTGCTCCCAGGCCAAAATCCTTGACAGCACAGTTCCATATAAATGAGCTGCTGATACAGGAGTGAGTTGGACTTCTGCAAGTGCTTAATGCGAGCTGCTATCAAAGGCTACCTGTGAGAGGAGCACTAATTTGGCCCATATATATATATATATATATATATAAAAAGTCATTAAAAAGTGATTATTGAGTTCATGTATTTCAGCCACACCCACTGAAATCAAGCACATAGCCATGCAATCTCCATAGACAGTGGTAGTAGTATGGGTCATACTGAAGAGCTCAGTGACTTGAAACGTGACACTGTTATAGGACGTCACCTTTGTCATAAATCTGTGAAATTTCTCCCTGCTAGATCTGCACTAGTCAACTGCAAGTGCTATTATGGTGACACAGAAGCACCTAAGAGCAACAAAAGCTCAGTCACGAAGCTGTAGACAACTAGTGTCCAATCAGTGAATGGAAAAATGTGTCGGATGCACAAGCACAACCCTTTACCAGGAGACACACCCTAGGCTTTAAAAGAGGGGAATAATGAAAGAGGATTTTGTCAATGTGAGTGGTCATTCAGCTTTACTTTCAAAACTCTCTCAACTCTCTCCATTTTTTCTCATATCTCTCTTTGTACTCTCTCTATATTTCTCAACTCTATATTTCAACTCTCTCCTTTCTTGCTCTCCCTCCTCTTTCCATATCTCTTCTTCCTTTCTTTTCTCTCTCCCTTTCTGTTCTTTAACTCCCCCACAAACTCACAGAGCAAGGCCACCTAGTGCTGAAGTGTGTAGTATGTAAAAATGGCCTGTCCTTTGTTGCATCGCTTACTATAGATTTCCAAGCTGCCTCTGGAAGCAACATCAGCACAAGAACTGTGCGTCAGAAGCTTCATTAAATGGATTGCCATGGCCGAGCAGCTGCACAATCCACTTGAATAAGGAAGAAAAAAGTTGAAGGAAAACCAGTGAAAAAACAGCAGTTTCCAAAACTGGAGTTGAAATTGGAGAGAAAATGGAACCATGCAAGACCTGGTAGACCACCAAAACGGTCCCTGTCAGATAAACAGCACTTAAGCCTTTCATCTTCTAGAGAGAAAAGAAAATCAAGCTCCATTCTTGCTTCAGATCTGAATGCTATGAATCTGAAAGGATGTGTAGCTGTCAAGCTGTAATAAATGTACTGTACACATACTAAATACTGAAAAAATGTTATTTTTAGTTGCTAAAGGTTCTGTGTAATTTTCTGTTAAATATGTTTTCCTGATGGCAAACAATGAACAGCTTAAACAAATGAAGGGTAGTTTCTGACATTTGTACAGTAAAGTAACTGACTCAGGTTAATTTATAATGCAGACGGCTCAAAGTGCTTTACAACATTAAAATATAAAAGCAGAGAAAATAAACAGTGAAAAATGCATTTAAAACATCAGTGGTATAATTTCACGGTCTTTACTGTGTGTCTAACTTCAAATTTATTAATAATGAATAATAATAAATTATGAATTAATGTATTATTTATTGAACATTGATGAATTGTATCAGCTACAACTAAATAATGCCTAGGATCCACCTGTGTTGGCATCCTAGGCATTACTTTCTTATAGGAGTGAGCAATGTGTATCACCAACAGGTAAATAATGAAAAATATGCTAGCGCTAGAATATTTATTATTATCATCATATTGTTAAAAATTCAAAAATATGAAATTTTGATGGAGTTCCCCTTTAGAGGAAACAGCTCTGACAAAGGGATAGAAGTTCAGTTCAGAGCGCTGCTGCATCGCCAACATAATTTCAGCTCTCTGAGCACATGCTATGCTAGCTCTCTCAAGATAAGAGAGCAATTGCTCTGCACACTTTCTTAATTTGCGTCTGAGTCATTTGCTGAACAGAACGAGTCGAGGAACAAAACAGCACAAGAGGAAGCTGAGACAATTCTTTTTCTGGGATAATTACCTTGTGATAGACTTAACTTGCGCTTACTTTCAAAGCCATAATAGGCCTTTTTTAAACATTTTTTCTTCATTCATCTTTTTATCATTCCTGACACAGGGCCACAGTTTAAGACTGCAGTTCATTTGTTCATGTTTTTTCAGTCTCTTGTAAATTCCTGACACAGGGCCGCGTTTAAGACTGCAGTTCATTTGTTCATGTTTTTTCAGTCTCTTGTAAAGTTGCCATTTTGAAGATACAAGGAAGTTAATATCATATCATTTTGGAGCACTTCTATTGATAACTGACTTGGACTTTAGATTAAAATCCTTTAGTGACTCTATACCTTTTATGTTTATATTATTAAAACAAATGATTGAACATTCCATTTTGTCACCACCAAAACAGTCACAATACTACCCAAACTTTACCAGCTGTTTCAGTAGTGACTGTTTCGGAAGTGACAACTAATTTTGAGCAGAACTCAAAAACACTAGCCAGTACATGACTAGCAAACACAGCTTTGAACAGCTGTACACACACAAAAAAATTATAATGTTTTTCATTAAAAACAAAGAAATGTGTGACAATTCTTAATGTTACACACTGATTTACAGACTTTGGGACACATTTACTTCAAAGCAATAAGAGTTAATTGCTCACCATGTGGCCATGAGGCACAGGTATGCAGTCTCACTTCCTGCTCTATAATGCAGGGGTTTGGCTAAAATAAGCTTTGGTCTAAAACGTTCTGTGTTTCGGTACTGACATGAAAACGTGGGAATGCATTTTTTGAATATTTTTTTTTCATTTAAGACTTGAGATAAATCAATCAATCTTTCAACTTAACTTTAAAAGAAATCAAAATGATCTTTAAAAAATGCTGGAAAAAACAAAGAAATGTAACTATTATTTTCACAAGTTGAAATGCAGGGGTCATCTCAGTGAATGTCTTGGGTTTATGTAAAACATAATCCTTATTAATATCTAAGGTCTGAATGCTTAATTTTTTATAATTTACTATTGGTACTGATTCAGTAAAACGGTTCATACATATACATATATACAGAGATTTATATATGTATCTATATAGGACATATTATTAATGAAGTACTTATGTATATATAAAACACAAATGAAACATGTGTATAGCTCTATGGACCCAGTGGTTTGGGTTTGAATCTTACCCACATACAGCTGGCTGTACAGCTCCAGGCGTGTGTGTCCCTGCTCTGGTGCAGGTCGGACCTCTCTGTACTGCTGGTCCAGCTGCAGAATGGCCTCTTTAACGTTCCTCTCAGCGCTGACCCTGTGCCACTGGTCATCGTTCAGCGGAGTAGGAGAGTGGACGTTTAGCTCCACTGGGCCGTTCCCAACATCAAACGAGAAAGACACCACTGTCGGGGCTGCAGAGACAAACAGAGAAAAACTACACTGTAAAACAAAGTTACTGAGTTCCTCTAGCTTAACTGTTACTGAAAAGAACCCAAACTGCAGGCTTCTGAATCAGTTATCACAAACTTGAGGTTTCAGCTTGAGTCTTATTTTTGAGTGACTACTATGAATTATTCAGTCATTACTAGACTGAAAAATGTAATGCTTTACTTTTGGCAATAACTGTGTTGATGTAATATATTTTGTTAATTTGTGGAAATACTATGCATATTATTAGAATAAAATACATTCAACGTATTACTTTCTGTCATTACGAGAGTGAGGTATTGAACAGACCTTTAGAGTTTAAGGGGTTAAGCATGGTCAACATAAAGGGGAATTTCACCAACTTTACAAAATATGTGCATGATTCAGTCACTGAGACGTAAACAGTCATTCAGAGTGGTTTGATGTGAAATGGTTCAATGTAGAGAAACTTACTGATTGCTTTCTTTACAGTGGTGGCGATGGGCACCAGGGAATATGGCCATTTTATTTACTATCCAAAACCACCAGTGAATCTACTTGCATCCTCTGAGTTTTTATTTATAACATTGATTATGGTAAAATAGTATGAAATCTGAAAAAAACATGTTTTCTTTGGGGACTGTTTTGCCTTGAATGTGCCTGTCCTCCATGATTAGATCATAAGGATATATTTTAGCCCAAAACCTTCTCAAAACTAAATCAATGTCTCTGGCATCAAGCAGTGTTTTTATAATCATTTCATGTAATAATTTTCTGTGAAGGAGCTTTCAGAGGCATTAAATTCTTTAGACGTCTGGTTCCTATCACCACCACTGTGAAGAAATCAGTGAAATTCCCCTTAATTGCTTTCCATGAACTAGTGCACATGTGCAGTCATCAGGCACTTTATTAGACCCCTCCTTCATGGCTCCACCTTGCTGCAGTACAATCTCACTGAATCTACAGTATAGATGTCTGTGTTGTTGGGTAAAGCTACAGCTAGAATCCTTCAATTAAAGTTAAATAAGTCAGTGCTTTTTAAGTTTTATGGTTTTAATGAGTCAGTGTTGAATATTCTCCTTCATCAGTGTGGAAGAATGACAGATGGAACCGCAGTGGAATCAGCAGCAGGTGAGGTGTGTGTATGTGTATGTGTGTGTGTTCTTCTGGCGTGTCATTTCCTGCCCTGAGGGTTTAGTCCCAGTAACGTGTTTTCCCCTAAGGGCTTCACTCCTGCAAAATCCTGATTTAGACTCTTCTGCCTGCCATCAGAGACATGCAGTGTACCAGTGCCCCCCCTTCCCCTGACTCATTCTCAGACTAAGCCCCACTTTAGCTCACCTCCTGACCTCACCTTTACACAACGCTGATGACAGAACATTAATTACTAAATCTATTTGCCAGGTCAGTCATTGGATTCCATCCATCCATCCATCCATTAATCCATTCATTCATTTTCCCAATTGCTACCCAATTCTGTTATTGTTACCCAATTCTTCTCATTAGTTTAGTCATGTCCAGTTCTCGTCCACTAATTAGGTCACAGGATATGACCAAGCTGAAAGGGTGAAGGCTAGCACGAGTCTCCTCTGAGACACATGAAGCTCCACCACATCTTTTCACACTGCTGTTAACTCAATGTCACTGGGCAGCTTAACATGCTTTGAGGAGAGAACTAACCTCTAATTCTGTTACAACAACATGCTTGGAGGAGAACGCTAACCTCTAATTCTGCTACATCAACATGCTTGGAGGAGAACGCTAACCTCTAATTCTGCTACATCAACATGCTTGGAGGAGAATGCTAACCTCTAACTCTGCTACATCAACATGCTTGGAGGAGAATGCTAACCTCTAATTATACTACATCAACATGCTTGGAGGAGAACACTAACCTCGAATTCTGCTACATCAACATGCCTGGAAGAGAACGCTAACCTCTAATTATGTTACATCAAAATGCTTGGACAAGAATAATAACCTCTAATTCTGTTACATCAGCTGACAGATGCCTGTGATGGTTAGCGTTAATTGATGGATGACCATCCTACCCCACCAGAAAGAGAGATGATAAGACAGTTACGATCTCTAAACTCCCAGGCACAGATGGCTGTGGCATCACCAGGGATCGACTTCGCAATCTCCCATTGATACAGCCAATGCTTAGACAACACTTAAACTCATAAAATCTGTCCAGGTTTCAGGAAGGTCCTAAAGGTCTTAAACGATTACCTTCCCAGATTATCTGTCCTGTGGGGGTGTATGATTCTTTACCCTTTCAGTCTGCTCACAGCCCTATCATGACTTAAAGTCATAAATATTAAACACGTTCAGTATTTACGACTCAACATCCTGCAGTGTGGGGGGAACATGGAATCTCTCAAATGCTGTGCTCATGTCATGTATGAAAGACTGTTAAACAATGAGAGCTGAGCTAAATAGAGAGTCCAGCCAAAACGAAGCACTAAAGGACATTTTATTCTAATCAACACTGAAAAAAAAAAAATATATATAAGGAAAAAATAAATATACTGTCTTTCACTTCGATGCTGCTAAATGCATGCATAACAAGCACAGTGATCTGTGCCTTGCTGTCATCCGCCATGTTTGCTTTGATCTCACATTTGTTCATGAGAAATTCTGCGAGACCTCAGGTTCTGAGAGATGGGACTGTTGATCGGGCTGTTGATTTGTGAGCATAATCTGAAAGTGTGTGGGGGGTTTTGATAACTGAAGGATGACCAAAGCAAAAAAAAAAAAATCAATAGAATCTGTCATTATGTGCTGGGTCTCTCACATTTTCAACATAATTTAGGATTTAAAACTGTGGGCCCCGTTAACAGTGTTGTTCACAGTGGTGGTGTTAGGAACCAGACCAGACTACAGTTTAATGACTCTAAAAGCTCCTTCACATAAAGTTATTACATGAAAAGGTTATAAATACACTACCTAATGCCTACTACATTGTTTTAAGATAGTTTTGAGATGTAATTTGAAACCTGTTTTTGATTTTGACAAGCAGGGTGTCTTAAGGCCACACAGTCCTCAAAGAAAACCTTCTTTCCCCTCAGATTTACCACTATTTTAACATCACTAACATATAAAACCCAGACGATCTCTGTAGGTTCACTGGTGGTTCTGGACAGTAAATAAAATGGCTATATTCATATTGTAGACATCGCCATCTCTGGTGTGATATAAAAAGCCACTACCTTTTCGTCTTGCCTAAAGAACCAAATAAAAGGGAAATATACCATTCTTAAAATGAATTTAAACTAATTTGGGTAAATCTGTCTGAATTACCACACTGAGAAAGGTCAGGAAAACACAGACCATACCACCTGCAGCAAATTGGTCATTTTCTCTTTAAACTCATCTGCTGAATGCTTTTATTTTGGCCTCAGACAGCAGCTGGTTAAAGGCCGTTCTCCCAGAGTTCAGTGCTAACCCGACCCTGGGGACAGGCTAATACGATTACTCCGAGAATGGAAGTTAGATAGGCTTTAATTGAATGCAGTCAGAGTGGAAAACAGTGAGGGATCCAGCCAGTAATTACTTTGTTGTACCAAAACAACTGCTTATAGCTCTGCTCTTGTTTAGCAAGGGCTAGCCTAGCCACTACTAAAGAGCGCAGTGATGCATGAGAGGTTCAGAACCAGTTACAAACGTAAAGGAGCTCCATGATTTAATGAGTCATGGTGGAAAAACAGAAAAAAGGCTTTCTGCTAATTATGAATTGCCTTGAAGAAAATATTGCTTTGCTTCAAATGTATATATCAGATGAATATCAGATAAATAAATTCTTACATGAGCATGACTGCAGCCAAAGGTAAGATGAAAGACAACTTCATTATCCCATATACGATGATAGCAATTGCTTTCATTTTGCTGTAGTATTCAAATGTAATTACATATTTACATCTAATTGACATTCTGTATCAACAGCTTTGTGTCTGTACGAACTTTATTCTGTTTGTTTTGGTGTCAGTGAGTACAAGTGAGAAATGATTTATACAAAATTACATCATGCATTTGTTATTGCCAGCAATATCTCTGACATTAGGTTAAAAAGGTTAAGCAGGAACAAATGTAAACACAGAAGGTAGTGATTTGTAAATTCATTTTGACCCATATTTAAATGAAGGCAGTACAGGAACATGGCATGTATGTTTTGTCTTTTAAACGTTATTATTTTTGTAAATATACATTCATTCTGAAATTGAAGCTTGCAACACATTCCAAAAAAGTTAGGACAGGGGCAGTTTCAGACTAGAAACACTTAAATGTTTAGAAATCATTTTTGAAGAGGTGATGTAATCATGCTTGGCTATAAAAGGAGCACGTAGGAAAGGCTTAGTCCTTGTGTATAATGGAATATAATATTATCAACAGATTCTGGAAATCTGGAAAAATCTCTTTGTATAAAAAGCAGAATTCCCATGACCTTCAAGCCCTCAGACAGCACTGCATAAAAAAATGGCATGCTTCTGCGATGGAGATCACCACATAGGCTCAGGAATACTTTGACAAACTGTTATCAATAAACACCGTCTGTCACTGCAACCACAAATGCAAGTTAAGGCTGTACTGTGCACAGCAGAAGCCATATGTTAACAACGCCCAGAAACACTGCCGACTTCTCTGGGTTCAAGCTCATCTGAAATGGACTGATATACTGGTATCGGAAAATGTTTACTGTGGTCTGATGAGCAAACCTTTCAGATTGTTTAAAGAAATAACAGACGTCATGTTCTCCAGGCTAAAGAAGTACAGGACCATCCAGATTGTTACCAGTGTAAAGTTGAAAAGCCAGAGTCTGTGATGGTATTGGGATACACATTTTGAAGCAACATTTTCTGCCTTTTAGACAGCATCTTTTTTCAGGGACATCCATGCTCATTTCAACATGATGGTAAACAAGCTCTTGTACCAACTTTTTTAGAATGTGCTGCAGGCATCAAATTTGGAATGAGCATGTATTTACAAAAAACAAACAAACAAACCA